TCGCCACTGTAAATTTGTCCTATCAATAGATGTATATATGTTTTATCCGTCACATCTCAGGAATAACAGTATTGTAAATTCTTGGGGTGTGACAACATGGTTCACTTCATAAGGGTTATATCCACGGGCATGACAAACTGAAATCCACTATACATCAAAGATTTTGGAACAAACCTTCGAATAAACCCTTTTAAACCTGCTCTCTCAAATGGAACTACACCGATCTATCATCTCTATTATATAACTAGACCACTGTCTAGAAAAATAACAACTTTTTGAGAGCAAACAAGATTTTATCTCATTAAAAGGTGAAACAACCCAAAATCTCAATGGGAACCATTTCTTTACAAGAAACCAACATCTCATGCTGCTGGAGTCATCAGGAGGCATCATCAATAGTTCTCTTCATAGGAAGTTCTCTTCTCTCTGAGATGAATCATCAAGGTTTCTCTTCATATAAAGCTTTCTTCTCTCTAAGAGGAAATTGCATCTTATGCACACGAGGCTTTATCTCCCTCTCTCTCTAGAGGAACCACTATTCCCATATGGCGACCCAAATTGGGGCACACAAATTATTTGTACTTTCTTCCCATATATATAAAATTAGGAATCCATATTAAATAGGAAACTTCATATAGACCTTACATATATCTCAAAAGATCAAGAGATATATCCAAAACTTCTAATCCTTTTTGGATTTCTATTTTCATTAGGAAATTTATCAACAATAATCTCAATCTCACATAATATGAGAATATCTCAATCCTAGATAATATGGATCAATCTTAATCAATCCCACAAGATATGAGATATCCTTATGTTGGTGATTTTGAATAACATCAAATCCAACAAGGAGTTCCTGACTTTGCTTTAAATGCTAGAGTATTGAACTTTTCTTAAGTGGGTCTAACACTTAATCTTAGTTTCACACTTTATATTAAACATGACTAGGGTTTCTCTATTGCTATGAAAGAAAGTCATTTCCTTACCAAAAGAACACATAACTCCTTTAATCATTTTAAGAAAAAAAATTGTTCCATGCTTCGCAAACGCATTATCCATTTGCATCCCCCGAGGATGCATTTTTCATTTGCATCCCTCGACGTGTAAAGCATCTATCGTAAAAATGGATACAAATGGGTAGTCCATCTAAAAACAGTTGAAACTAATAGTCCAAATGTTTGTTCATAAAATTATTATTTTTAATTTTTAAAATTTATTTAGTTTTTCATATTCGTGATCTCCATGTCAAAGATTATATATCCTTTATAAATTGGGTGAAAAAATCCATCTCAGAAATAGATTTTTAAGAGGAGATTCATGTCTACATCGACTCGTAGAAACTATGTCCTTTTAAGAATGACAATGATAAATAGCTATCACCATGAGAAATATATACAATAAGACCAGTTACTTTTGATACAAGGATGCCACAATCATTATCGACCTTTAGATTTGAAATCAGGTGATTGAGGAGGTGTCATTATTTACGCACAAAATCCAAAATAAATTTTTCTCGAATGTTGCAACATACTTTCATCTATTGGATTTCCCATCTATGGCTAAAAGTGATCGTGGCCTCCTTGTACAAAAAATAAATGGTCTCATAGTATATATTCCCATCACCATAGAGATAGCAATGGACCAAGACCCAACCCAGGACTCGAGGGGTAGACCCGATCTAGGTCCAAGTATGTGTCAAAACATTGGATCCAACGGGTCGGATCCGTGTCCAAATCTTGGACCCGAACACTATTTTTGGGTCCCAATATTAGAACTATGTTTAAATATAATTAAATACATACATATTTTAATTTTTGGATAAAATTGGGACCTAACCTCTTGGCACCCTTACATCACCCTACTTAACAACAACGCTATTAACCAAAACAAAAAATAAAAAAAAGAAGGAAAAAACATATGTTGGAATAACCATATCTGACATGGTCATAAATACAAATAAAGAATGTATAAATATGACCAGCCAATTATTTATGGGAAGTGGCCCAACTTGATCTCGGAATGGCTACCACCCGTTTTAGCTACTTCCACATAATGACAACCGTACCTTATTCATTATTTTGACTTGTTCTAAATAGAGTGCTCCAACTAGGCGTTTCCATACGTCTTTCAAATTTTAAAACACAAAAATGGTTTGATAGGGCTGCAGCTCTATAAAAAACAAGTAAAGCCTTACTTTTTAACTCATCAAAAATTGTAATTCAAGTATTAAAAAACTTTTACATCAATCATCTTGACTTTAACATTATGGTTGTAGAAAAAAAAAAAAGATTTCAAACTTTAAAAATAGTGTATAATATAACAAATTGTCTAGATTGTCCATTGCACCATAGAAGTCAATGTTTATAGATCCGCAAGTTCTGTAATATTTTTTTAGTTTTGAATTTTATTGTCGGTGTTGGAACTTGATTTTAGAGCTATAATGGAGATTTTCGTTGCTGAAAGTGCTTTTCAAATGAGGATTTGAGGTGACAGTTTATTTTGTTTTCATAAAGCCTAAGCCTTATACAAATCTTGCCCTATAAAAAAAATAAAAGTTGTGATTCCTTTTAGCAAAATGGAAAAAGTATAGGGCATGTGCATTATTTTTAATGATTAAAAGAAACGGATTATTTCTTAATAATGTTTTATTCAAAATGATGCAATGAGTCGAGGGTTTTAGATAAGGAAAAGTAAACCAACATACTTTTTATTTTTAATGTAAAGATATCATAATCATTTTTATCCGTTGGATTTTAAATCGAGTGGTTGTGAATATGTCATTTGTTATTGATTAGATGTAAAGTTCAAAAACAATTTCTAGTACTTTGTGACTCACACCGAGCCTTTCAATTCAGCATTAAAGTTAAAATTATTTTATATTAATAATTCCATTAATTAAAAGGCCAATTTAGATAATAAATAAAGTGGGTAGGTAGGTAATCTCATGAGCAAGGAGCTCATGTTGGTTTTGGCTAATGATTGAACAAGAGTGAGAGTAGCATGCATCATGAACAAAAGAAAAGCAAAGCCTAACACCTATAAATAACCAATATTACAGAGCTCTTAGCCATTGCAGTGTCACAATGACTGATGAGGTTCTTCATGTTGCAGTACTCTCTTTTTCAGCCTTTGGCCACTTGATCCCATTTCTAGAGCTCTCAAAGATATTAGCCCAAAAGGGCCACAAGGTCTCCTTCATATCCACTCCAAGAAACATTGATAGATTGCCCAAAATCCCTCCAAATTTAGCTACTCTGATCAATCTAGTGAAGTTTGAGTTGCCCCCTACCCATGGCCTTCCTGAAAATGCAGAGGCTACCATGGACTTGCCAATAGAGAAATTACAATTTCTTACTGCAGCGTATGATAAGTTACATGAGCCCATTGAGAATTTTGTATCGGAGGAGTCACCGGACTGGCTAATTCACGACCTTTTCGCGCCTTGGGCGCCCTGTCTTGCTGCCAAGTTTGGAATTCCTAGCTGTTTCTGTAGTGTGTTCACAGCATCCACGCTCGTTTTCTTCGGGCCGCCGGACGGACTTGTCGGAGCCCATCAGCGGTTGACTCCTGAGAGCTATGCAAAGGCTCCAGAATGGGTGCCCTTCCCGTCAATTGTAGCTCTGCGAATGCACGAGGCAGCCAGAGTCAGTCAGTTGGGCAACAAAGTCGAAGCTTCTGGGATGTCTTCTCACCAACGGTTCGCGATGACCATAGAGGGGTGCGATTTCGTAGCTGTTCGGAGTTGTTATGAATTCGAAGGGAAGTATCTGGAACTACTAAGGGAGCTCTATGGCAAGCCAGTTTTGCCCTTTGGCCTTGTACCTTCACCTCCAGTTGAAAAACGAGGAGCTGGAGAAGGGGGGAATGGGAATGAGTACAGTAGGATCTTTTCATGGCTTGATGAGAAAGCCAAAGGATCCATTGTGTTTGTGGGGTTTGGCACTGAGACCAGGCTGAGTATGGATGAAGTGCATGAGATGGCCTTCGGGCTCGAGCTCTCGGGGTTGCCCTTTGTGTGGCTGCTAAAGAAACCGCAGGAGGGCTGTGAGGGCATGGATCTGCTTCCCCAAGGGTTCGAGACGCGAATCTCAAACCGGGGCGTCGTGCACGTCGGTTGGGCTCCTCAAGCTCAGTTACTGGCACACCCCGCGATTGGGGGGTGCCTGTTTCACTCGGGGTGGGGTTCTGTGATAGAGGCCCTACAATGGGGTCATACCCTCATTGTCTTGCCCTTTGTCTTTGATCAAGGGTTGAATGCTAAGCTCTTGGTAGAGAAGGGGATAGCCCTAGAGATAGAGAGGAACAAGGATGGTTCTTTCACAAAGGAAGCAGTTGCAAAGGGTCTAAGGCAAGCTATGGTGGAAGAGGAAGGGGAGCCCCTAAGGGTCAAGGCAAGAGAAGCTGAGGCCATATTTGCTGATAGGGGTCTCCATGATAGGTACATGAATGACTTTATCAAGTACCTTCAAGATCACAGGAGGAATTGAGTCCTATCTCAAGCCCATCCTCTGTAATTCCTGATGAAGGAAACTTCAGAAGGTAAGGTCTACAATAAATAAGATTTTGCTATGATTTTTTTTGGCAAGATGGAGAGTTTGCTTACATGCGATACTATCTGAACCATATTGTTCGCTTTGGTATATCTTTCATTATCCATCAATTGCAAGTAGTGTTCCTTCCAAATAGTTGGCATAAAGCTTATTTGATTATGATGTTAATAGTGTTTGCAAAATCGGCGGTTCATCTTGGAACTGCCCGGTTTAACCCGGTAGCAGAAGATAGCCCGCTCGATTTATCTCAACTCAGCCATGTAGGCCTAAAAATTATATTAATAAATAATTTTCTTTTATCATGAAACTATTATTTTTAGATTGATTTAAGGCTCTTTATTTAAACATTTTGAACTTGATATATTTTGTTTAATGTTTTTTCTCTTTTTGAATCGGCCAAGTTGAGTCATTGACTCAATTTGTTTCACTCAAATCTTGTGGATGACTAATTCGACCCAAATTTTTAGTTGCTAAAAATGGATGGTTGATATCAAAATATTCCCCGCCTTCCCCCGACTGTGCATGCGCAGAGGAACCGTTGCCAATGACCACCCATTGTTGATAAGGGATGGCTGATGGTGCATGTAGGAAATTGAACAATAAGTACATGTACCATGGCATAGTTTCCTTTGGAACCGTTGCCAATGACCACCCATTGTTGATAAGGGATGGCTGATGGTGCATGTAGGAAATTGAACAATAAGTACATGTACCATGGCATAGTTTCCTTTGAAAAATTTATCTTTGGAGCAATGATTTCATCCAACTGTTGGATAGTAATACGATGCAACCTTAAAAAACCATCCTATGGTCATTTGTTTGATTTAAATTTTGAAATATACACTCTTTTTATTCTAATGAACAATTAATTAATTTTTTTTTTTTTTAAAATACAGCTTAAAAAGTATTTTTTTAGCCCAATTAACATAGGCCATTCATTTTGGTGAGATACTTAGATCTAGGCCTTAGAAGGAATTTTTCATTTCTAATTTTTTGGATGGCTTTATTATCATTAGATGAACAATGTTAAAAAAAAAAAAATGATTTTAAGTTTACAAAGGTTAAGATCTTGAAATTCACAAAGTGAATGGTCTAGATTCGTTTTGGAGGAGACTCGTTTTGACCATATCTAGAGTTCAATTTGAAATTTTTTATTTAGGGGGATTGATTATTGAGATGAAGAGTGTGTCTGTAAAATTTGGAGTCATACAAATACCATAAACATGATTTTCTAGAAGTGTCGTTGCATTGCATTATATTATGATACAACCATTATTTTCTGTCAAGGCAATGTTTGGAAAGCCCATCAATGGGGAGGGAGTTGTCTAGAGACACGTGAAAAACATTTTTTTGTGCTCAGATTTGCAGGATTCTTTTTTGGACCCGGTTTCTATGCGGCGAAGCCCACATATGTAAAAATGTGGGCATATTAATAAATCTATTTTTGAGATGTATTTTTGGACTTAATTTTTAAAGACATGTAATCTTTAACATAGAGATCATGAATATGAAAAAATAAGTAAATTTTAAAAACTAGAAACAATAACTCTAGTAAGAAAACATTTGAACTGTTAGTTTCCATTGTTTTTATATGGAACATCTACATGCATCCATTTTTAAGATGGATGCTTTACACTTTTTGGACCACATAAATAGTAATGCGGTCCAGCCAGGATGAAACAAATTTTTTTTTTTTGGCGCTTTCTGAATATTTTCATAAATAAAATGTCGATCGTAACAGTGTTTTTGGTCGAGAGTGATTTTCTTGAGACAAATAAATGGTATATTCCGAGGGATTGATTCCTGGGACACTTTTAGAGCACGTATACAATGCTCCCGCGGGAGCATTGCTGCGCTCTACTCTTTCGGTCAAAACACTTTTTCCGTCTAAAAATTTCAGAACTACAGAAAAATTACCTATTGTTTTTAAGAGAAAATTTAAATTTTGAGTTTTGTAATACTCAAATCTCTTAAAAATTAGAGAAAAAATTATATAAATATCTGTTTTAGTTTCCGTTATTATCAAAATATCAAATACTTTTTGTTTTACTCATATGTCTAAGTTTTGGATTTCATAACAACATTTTCAAAAAAATGTGAAACTACATATTTTGGGTTTTTCAAAAACCGAAACCATGTTGCTTTTGGTTTTTTAAAAACCTAAAATTTCAGTTTTTCAAAAACCAAATTCCTTAATGTTCCGGTCTTTTGAAAAACCGAAAAATACAAACCCTTATGAAAACCTTCATCAACAAAACAGCCTCTCAAAGAATCACAAATTTCATCAGCACAGAATTGCAATCATCATGAGCATCAAGTCCATGCCATGGATCGGAACAAATGGAAATATAAAGCCAGATGCAAATTTCTAGCTCGGCCCGTAGCACGGGAAAATTTAACCTAAATCTATACATGTTCTCTCAACCATACATGCGCAAAGCAAAAAATCTGATATCAAACAAAACATAAAACACAAATATAGTCGCTGGGATATATTAAGAGCGAAAGAGACAGACATGTAGAGAAAGTGTGCGCAATAAAACGAATGAATAAGTTCTTCAAAACCAGTCAATTTATGGAGTAGAAGAAGAAACTCGTACTATATCTAATTAGCGTTTGATCATCTTTCAGGATTCGACCCTTGTAGATGAGGCTGAGGCGTTATTGTTCCGCTGGTACCTCGGAAAATTTTTGGTTTTTTAAAAACCTAAAAGTAAATAAATTTGGCTTTTGAAAAATTAATATTTTAAAGTTTTCGGTGCTTGAAAAAGTGATTTAGGTTTTGGAAAAACCTAAAATTGGCCTGATCTAGGTTTTTGAAAAACCAAAAATTGACAGTTTCATCTTTTTTTAAAAAATTGTTATGAAGTCTAAAAAACTAACATATGAGTTATAACATAAAGTATTTAGTATTTTGGTAATAACATAAATTAAAACTGATATTTACATAATTTTTCCAAAATTAAATAGTCTATGTTCAATCTCAAGGCTTTAGGTTTTTCTGGTATATAGAGATCTGAAATGTTTTTGGCAGAGATTATTCTATGGGCTGGAGTGATTACATCCCCAAAATTTGAGATCTAATAAGCATGTATTTTGCCCGAGGCAGTAAATGGATAATATAATCCTACAAGAACATGAAATCTTTTGACTAAAAAGAAATCGCGCATATTTCTTTTTTTATTTGAATCGTCAATGTTGAGGAGAAACTTGGAAATGAATAGCTTTCAATATCACATATTCACACAATCTCTCTCTATTATTAAAAAAAAAAAAAAAAGTTCCCCTCATGTCGGTGCAAGCAATGGGTGGCCAAAATAAAAGTTTTTGCACATCTTTTAGAAAAGGAAAAAGTTTATATAAGGTCGTAATTTTATTTGGGGTGAAGTATGTATACAACTTAGGTTCTAAACAATCAAATTAGAGCCAATCTTTAAATAATGTCAAGAAATGTGGTTTCCATATTAGACGTCTTTCTGATAGCCTTAAAATATATTTTTATTTTTATTTATAAATTTTAAAGCTTAAAAAATAGTGTAGATCGACATATCTATGAAAACTTGAAAATTAACGGCCCAAAAATGCGTTACAAAATACATTATTTTCAAAACTTGAAATCCATTTTTTTTCTCATGTCCATGCATCTTGATGTCGAGATGATCAATTTGACGATATCTGGGCATCTAAACAATGTCTTTTAGTGAAATTTTTGAGGTAGGCTCTAATTTGATTGTTTAGAGCCTCGGCTCTATATAAACTTTTCCATTTGTTTGGAGAAGGAAGGTTGTACTATAGTTTTTGGATGGTATCGATTTGGCACTATTTCAAAAAACGTATCATTTTTTAATGATGTTTTAAAAAGAGTATTGAAACTACACAATTCAACTAAAAATGAAAAAGGTTTATATGGAGCCGAGGCTCTAAACAATCAAATTAGAGCCCACCTCAAAAATTTCACTTGGAAAAGTTGTTTTATGTCCAAATATTATCAAATTGATCATCTCGACATCAAGATACACGGACATATGAAAAAAGATTTCAAGTTTTGGAAATAGTGCATCTTGTAACGTATTTTGGACCCTCAATTTTCAAGATTGTCAAGTTTTCATAGATATTCTCGATCTACACTATTTTTTAAGCTTTAAATTTAATAATTTAAGATGAAAATATATTTTAACCTATCACAAAAAGTTTCAGTATTGAAACCACATTTCTTGATACTATTTGAAGGTGAGCTTTACTTTGATTGTTTGGAGCCTCAGCTCTATGCAAACAGCACCCCAACTAAAATAGACGGTGTAGAATTTAGAACTAAAGGCAGCTCGCCATTTACATATATGGAGGGTTGAAACCGGTATGGAAAGGCCCCCAAACAAATACATAAGAGGCCCAAACTTTGGGGATCCCTATTTTGGGATGATAGAGGACCTCACCGGGTCCATTAATGCCCGGATATATCATGGAGAACTTGATACAATAGTATGATCAAACCTAGCCAAAATGGATGCAAATAGGCTCGCAATTGAGCATAAACTTAATCTAAGTACCCTTCGGAAAGAGGAGATATAGCAAAAACAATTATTGGATTATGTAAAGGGTGTGGTTAGTATAAGGCTGAGGTCCTAGATCGCTAAAGCAAGGTTTGCTTTCAAATAATATCAAATGACGTTGTTTCAATTTTGGAAATATTTAAAAATTTATTTTCACATCTAATTATAAAATTTAAAGCTTTAAAAATAGTGTAGATCTGAATAAATCTATGAAAACTTGAAAACCTTGAAAATTGACGGGTTCAAAAATGCATTACAAGATGCACTATTTCCAATACTTGAAATTCACTTTGTTTTTTTTTTTCATGTCCATACATCTTGAGGTTGAGATGATCAATTTGAGGATTTTTTGACACTAAAACAACCTCTTCTAGTGAATTTTTGAGAGGCACCTTAATTTGATTGTTTAAGGCCTCACTCTTATATAAACTTTTTCCGTATTTAAAAAAAGGCAAATTTACAAAAGAACCCTTAGAAATCGGTTGCTTGCATACCCAAAGCATTGATAAATGTCAGCAAGTGGCTAAAAAACATTTAACTTTAAAATTTCATGTAATTCGAACATTGTTTGGTCAGGTTTAATGTTTTATGGTGCGGACACTATTGAAATATTAAATTAGTGCTAGATTGGAAATGGGGTCAAAATTTTGCAAAAAATCTATTTTTGATAATTTTCTCACTCCAATTTCTCCCAAATCCTTCGGGCCTTTGAATGTGTTGTTACGGGCTTTCCCATGATATGTACTTTTTGTGGGAGAGAGAAATTGAGCCACTTTCATGTCCATGCAATTTTCAAGTCCTATAACCTATGCTTGTTGTTTGTCGATTTCTTCCAATCTGAGAGGAGTTTTTAATGAAATTTGATGCATAGGGAGTGTGACTCAACAAGCTTTCAGATGATATATAGAAATCATCAACATGAAGATGAAGAATTTTTTCAGTAGCGAATTGTAATTTATTTTTAAAGCATGACTGATTATCATGGTTTTTGCCACTTAAAACCCTTATAACTCACCAATAATAGAGTTTCTGAGCAAAATTTGGTGCAAAACAAGCTCTTCAATTTTATGACACCATATTGGACAAATCTGACTCTAGTGTGATAAACCAAAAATGTGCATGGGAAACTAGCTTTTGGAAACCTATTCACAAAATGATTCAAAACTACCTCAAATCTTGTAGTTTTTTATTTTCCACCCATGTATAAAAGCTCTTTTTATATAAAAACCAAACCCCATCATTTTTCAAAGGTAGGAAATCATTTGCTCTGCTAAGAGTTCTAGATAAAGTAACCACCATAGAGAAACCCCAACTGCCATTGTTAATTCCCACCCAAAGGCCCTAACCCTAGGTAGTGTAAAATACCCAGAATACCCCTCAAGTAGAGCAAGCAAGGCACATTCCCTAAACCCTTGGGTAGAGCCCAAAAATAAATTCTTGTGCCTCTCTCTAACACACATATGAATACACCGGCGTCGCACCAAAGGAATCTAATATTTTTTTTGTATGTTTCTAGTAAGACTAAATGTAACGTGAATAAATCAACTAAAAATCATTAAAGAAAATAAAAAATATACAGTTAAAAGAAAACAGAGAGAACTTACCGAATCAAGCCCCAAAAAAGAATTTAAGATAGAAATCCAAAATTCAATTTTCAGTTAACCCAGTAGCCATTAAGTCTAGTTTCAAAAATACTTTCGGTAGACTATAGGATTGGGATTTGGAGGCACGAGAAAAACTTACTTTCTTTAAAGTAATGGAAGCTTTTAACACGGTAATCTCCTTTTTGAGAAAATAAAAGAAGGTAAAACTCTAGGTTTTGAGGCACGAAAGAAAACTCAATTTCATACAAATTAAAAAAAATAGAATAATCTCAATGACTATGAAATTCCTCTCAATGATTAATTCTAAAAAACGAGTTTTTCTCATGCCTTCATATCCCAACTCGAGTTTTTCTTGCGCCTCAAAGGGAGTTTTATTTTTTATTTTAAGAAAAAGAAAGAATCTCCTGACTTTATGATTAATTTAAGGGAAAATTATGTAAACATCCGTTTAATTTATGTTATTATTAAAATCTCGAATTCTTTCCATTATTATTCATATGTCCGTTTTTTTTGAACTTCATAACATTTTGTTTTAAAAAATACGAAACTATCAATTTTCAGTTTTTAGTTTTTCAAAAACCGAAATAAGACCAATTTCAGTTTTTCAAGAACTGAAAACTTTAAAATTATGATTGTTCAAAAACCAAATTTTTTTATTTTCTGGTTTCATAGTAAGTCACGGAACCTGCCATCGGACTTGATATTGATTCAAGTCATGGGACTTGATATTGGTTATAACTTTAGCTGGCGATTTGGGTAATCTCTCCATATCTCAGTGGTGAGGGAGCTCGTACTGAGTCTATAACATATTTCATCTCTCTCCCCCATGGCCCTTGAATATTAGTAGTACGATGCTCTCTCTCTCTCTCTCTCTCTCCCATCTCCCTCTCTTTCTCTCTCTCTCTCTCTCCGCCATGTCCTTCCAGTATTGGCGACATGACGGCTCTCAGCCCGCTCAGAAATTCGTGATTTGTTGCATTCCCCACCCCTCAAAAGAAAAAGAAGACAACCCCGCACCCCTTGGTCCTCAGTGTTTGTGATATGATGCTCTCTTTTGGCCGTTCTCGGCAAAATGAATGAGATTCACTTTCTCAAAGAAAAAAAAAAAAAAGAATCGAAAAAGAAGTCTTACACATACTTTCTTCCGGCAGAATATCAAGGTTTCCTCTCGTCACATACTTTCTTCCGGCAGAATATCAAGGTTTCCTCTCGTTTACAGTATCAAGGTTTCGTCTCTTTTACAGTGTCTTGCAGCTTTCGGTAGCAATTCAAGCTCTCTCTCTCTCTCGCTCTCTCTCAAACTCCGCATGAATTTGCTTTTACAGTGTCTTGCAGCTCTGGGTAGCAATTCAAGCTCTCTCTCTCAAACTCCGCATGAATTTGCTATTTTGATGCATGTATTTAAATCTTCACTTCGCTTTCTCTATCACAAGTGTGAAAGTTCAAGAAAATTTCGGTTTTTGTTAAACATAAATTTTTAAATTTTTTATTTTTCAAAAATCAAAATTGACCTGATTTCAGTTTTTGAAAAATCAAAACAGGTAGTTTCGTATTTTTTTAAAAAATTGTTATAAAGTCCAAGAAACAGATATATATATATAAGTAATAACAAAAAGTATTCGATATTTTGATAATAACATAAACTAAAACAGATATATATGTAATTTTCCCTTTATTGAATTCCAAGCATGTGTAATGTTGAGTCCATGATACATGAACAGACCATCACGGTTGTGCCGGTTCATATTAATGGTTCCAAGGCGGCGATTATAGGTTTTTATGGGTTGAATTTGCCATTGGTGAGACAACAGCTTTGGCAGCATTTCTGGTTTGAGAAGTACGATTTTGATTCCATGGCTCCCGCTTGGTTACTTCGACTCGCTATTGACAATTCTGAGTTGACCCCAACTTTTGTTCATATGCAGGTCTCATTATCATCGTCGTCATTATCATCAAATGCTTTTTTCCAACTATATAGGTATCATCTAAGTGATAAATAAAAATAAAAATCTTTAGCACTCACAAAATTTTGACATAAAATGAGTCTACCAATCTCGACTGCCCCTTCTTTCTTCTCTTCTCCTTCAATCTTGGATGATCCAATCTATTATGTGCTATAGACTAGTCAGCTCATCGCATTATCGAGAATGGGCTAAAGCTTTGACAGTAGTACCAACGAACCCTATAATGAAATCTCTACTCCATTCTCACCGAAAGGATAGGGGCCCAAATCCCCACTATCTTACCCTATTATCATCTCCTAAGAGCATAATCATAAAACTTCTCAAAAGAAATGTTTCTATCCATTTTACACGTTCTTTCTTGTATTTTGGAAACACGGACAGGTATTATTACATACTCCTTCAGGGGTACGGGATAATTCAGCCACTTGTACTTCAGCAACAGACCTGGGTGAAACAGTAATTTTACCCCCAAAAAAAATATTCATTATTAGTCCTAGCAAAACTGGTCCAGGCCCTGCGTGATATAATGGGTTTCTAACTGGACCCGATTTCTATGTGGCCAAGCCCGCATAGGTAGAAATGCAGGCCTCTTAATTAATCTATTTTTGAGATGGATTTTAAGATTTAATTTCTAAAGACATGTAATCTCTAACATGAAGATAAAAAATATGAATAAATAAATAAATTTTAAAAATTAGAAATAATAATTCTAGTAAAAATACATTTGGACCCTTAGTTTCCATTGTTCTTAGATGGAACACCTACTTGCATCCATCTTAAAGATGGATGCTTTATAATTTCTAGACCACAGATGTAGAAATGCGGTCTATACCACATGAAACAATTTTCCTTCTAGACTACACATGGTATGGAGCATTATTTGTAAAATTTCCCCTTGAATTGTGATAAAGCCCGACATTATCACTAGTGAAAATCTACCACACAGGCTCTGGTTTGGAACGGGGCTCTCGTCACAGTGTGTAGGGCAGTGAAACCACAACATAACATCAAGGACTCCAATCCCACTGCTTGACATCCCAACAGAATGGGCAGAAGGAAACAATAAGGTGCTCCAGCCAGAAAGAAACCAGCACCGACCAAAAGTCCGAGATATTGTACACTATTGAGACATGAACCATTTATTTCCAATGACTAAATGAGGAGATTAATATGGTTACTATGAATTTTACTCTACATTTGATCTCCAGAGTCTGTTAAATCAATAGATGGTGTATATCCCCATGGTGACCATATACCTAGATGGTAACACCAGAAAATATACGGTATATATATCCCTACATTATATGGTATGCAATCGGGTCATCCACCATCCATTCCCAATGATGAGAAGGGGCGATAATGCTGCTTTTTATCAATACTTCAACAAAATATACTACTCTATACGATTTCGCTTTCAATAACACGTGTGTGATACATGTGTTCGTCCATCATATTCTTGAACAATCAGACGGACAAATCCACAATATATACAAAACAATATTCAGTCATATGAAATAAGAAATTGATAAAAAATTTATGCTGGCAAGGAAACCTGACTTGGAAAGTTCGAACAAAGAATCAGCAAGTTCAGCTGGGCTTATCTTTAACACTATGAGTGACACTTACAAATACCTCGAGTCGAGGCCTCTGACCAGTAATTTACATTGCGCATGCTGTACAGGTGAAACCCATGCAAAGTATAAAGAGAGCCAGTTGATTTAAAAAACCCTGCAATATATAAAAGCACAAGGAAAGGAACAATCAATAAAATGTTCCGTGATAAATTGAAGTAGAAACAATCAAGTTCAAATAAGCAGAAATCTTGTTTCTGTTTTGACCACTAGAAAATTGACCCAGACATTTCTAAGGGACGGCCATCTCTCTCTCTCTCTCTCAATCTATGTGTGTTCATGATAATTTGTTTGTTAGTTCTAAGGCTACTTGTATCAACTATTACGATGAGGTTTTCCTAGGTCTACATAATAATTAATTTATCAGACTGCTTTGCTCGACTTCTTTGCTAGTGGAAAACACAAGAATCGGTGTGTGGCATAGGAAATCGATGAAGAACTTGCTTTTCTTACTTTTCCAACAACAGTGAATAAGTCGTTAATGAATGCGGATGTCATGATTAAGTTGGCCACCCCAAAAACTGAATTGAATTGGGCACATCCAAGTCAAGTTGTACTGACCATTTCAGCACTGGTCATTTCAGCGCTGGTTTCAGGTAATATAGGCTATGAATAAAGTTGGAGGCACATAGTATTAGCAAGAAGATTCAGAACTCAGAGAGAGAGACAGAGAGACAGAGAGAGAGAGAGAGAGAGAGAGCATACCTCAGTAACAACACCAGCTACTGCTGATAATTTAAATGGAAGGAAGCCAGATAAGTACACACATCTTTGATTCTATCCTGGTGCAGCACCTTTGGACCTCAAATTACGTGAAGTATTACCCCTACGGAGCTGAGTTTCTATAGAATACACAAGGAGGCTTCCATCCTTTGTCCCAGCAAGGAAGCACTCTTCGGGGGTAACAGTAAGAGAAGTTATTATCTTTCCAGTACCGTCATACCTCCTCACAACTTCAAGAGAATGCATAGCCCTTAGAGTTATGTGTCCTTGATCACCTGCACAAAGCAAGAATTCTCCAGAAGGGCTAAGCTTCATACAGTTTAGGCGGCCATTACACTCAGAGGAAGCCATGGCTTTCCCATTAATTGAGTACAGGTGAAGGTTTAGGTCATCATTGGAGTAGAAAACCAGACGCCCATGTTGTGAAATGACTAGTTTTGACAAGGCACAAGCAGATGGATGCTGAATAGATCTTATGTATCTTCCTTCTCGTAATGTATGGATGACACATGTTCCATCTTTTGATCCACTGATAACCACATCAAGCTCTACACTGATACAAATGCATGTGATTATGTCATCATGACCACATAGGATGTGGAATGGATTTTCGGAAATGATGAGGTCTTTCCGGGAGAACTCTGTTTGGTTATGTCGAGCTCTCTTGTCCATGGACCTCAGCATATTGACCTCCCATACCATCACTGTTGTGTCATAACTTCCTGTGGCCACAGTTCTTCCATCTGATGCCACTGCAATATTTGAGAACAAGTTAGAGAACATGAACGACCATTCTCATGCAGAAATTATACCAAATGGTCCAGTGGACTATGGAACATCAGATGAAATCTCAACAAAACCAGATGTTGGGGTTTCTTCCAAGAAACTGATTTTTATGGGCGAGAAAAAAAAGTTTTTGAGCGAGGAAATACACAGCTCCTTCAAAACATTATATAATAAAGCTTGTATATTATACACCATGCAACAAATCATCCACAATGCATTGTTCATCATAGATGACATTGTACGTACTAATGGTTAGGCCATCAAAGGAGTTCTATAATGGATAAAACTTCACAGATCAGGGGATAATTACTTTGCCAATGGTAGCAGCAGAATCATTCAGGAAAAATGTGAACTGCCTATTAAAGCATAACAAGATTAAAATTTTGCATAGTTCCAAATATATTTAGGACTTAAGGATCAACAGGCATTGAGAAAAACAATCATGTAAGAATCTCTGGCCCATGAAAGGCATACCTGCGACACAACTGACTATATCCTTGTGCTGTCTTATGCTTTGGACCATCCGCCCATCACTTAGGCATATGACCTGAAAACTGTTCTCCCAGTTGCCACAAGAAATAAGAAAATTTTCTGACGGTGTTTGTAGTGTAGCCAAGCACTGTGTCCCAAGCTCCATATTCTCAGCCAAGGGTGCACCAATTTTTCGATGAGTAAGAATATCAGAACCAATTCCAAAAAATGGATCCTGTAGGTAATTGCACAAATTGCAATCAACAAAAGCCAATTTAATTATAAATTCATGAATACATACATAAATATGTGGTTGTTGCATTGTGTGTGTGTGTGTGAGAGAGAAAGAGAGAGAGAGAGAGAGAGAGGGGGGGGAAGGGGGTAGTTGAATCATACCTGTGAGCCAGAGAAAGTCAAGTTCCCACCGGATTGCAATTGGGTTGTTAACCACATCTTGATAGACATCGTCAGGCCTTGGTTAACAAGTATAAGATTTGAATCTAAAACATCGACAAAGAGCACTGGTAATGGTTGATGAGCTGTACTGGAAATTACAGAAGTCAAGGTGATGGAAGCAGGAGCATAATATAAAGGATTGGCAATTGGAACTGGTGGGCCCCTTCTTGGATGTTTTCTCCGGAATATCTGAATTGGCGTTTGCCCAAAATTCGCTATCTGGTCTTCAAGGGCAGATCGTTGGAATGCATCATCCATGGTCTCCAGATCCACTGCACCTTCATATGTCAAATAATAAAAAACATTTGCTGCCTGTTATTTGGGCAACAGAAATGTAAGCAATTAGACATTTGTCATTGCTTTGGAAAACTAGACATAATTAACTCTGGTCAAAGAATTTTGATATGTGATTTATGAAACATACCTCAACTGCTGGTTTGCCACGCTGTTTATAACCAAATACCAGATCAATCCAATGATGGAGATTGGAACTCACATATTCACTTTCAAGGCCCTCTCGATTTCTGTAAATAAATTCTTCGCAAGATCCCTGCAATAGTAATATGACCAAAAATATCTTGAAAGATGAAGAAAACAGGAAACATGCTACAAAAGATCACGACCGAATTATCCTCAAGGCATACAGACATACACACACCCTAAAACAAATCTTTGGGAAAAGGTGAAGAGTTTGGAGTTGAGTACTCCACAAGGTGGTTAGGATGTTTTGCTTAGTTGAGATTGGGAAGTGGGATAAACTGAGGTTTTGTCTTTCATTGAACGGATTGCTCATTGTTGACAGCATACAGGGACAAAATAACCAAGAGTTCACTCCGATTACTATGGCTTTTGAGTCAGCTTCATAACACCAACTCTAAGAATCAAAGGCTGTGTCATGGCTGTTAGGGAGTTTTGGCAGGGCACAAGAAGATGGTGTACTCCGAAACCCTGTCCCTCGTGTTCAGAGAAGGTTATCTCATCAGGAAAGAGCTACCGTTCCCAAACCACATAAGGGATCGAATTCCTCAAATCTCTGGATCCTATAGTCTGAGTCCTTCTTTCTCTCAAAAGGTATACATTCTCTAAACTCCTTCAGAAAAGGTTGTTTTGATGTTGGAAAAACATCTAATCGATCATTTTGATAACGGGATATATAGATATAGAGAGAAAAAGAGATTTCAAGTCCTAAAAATAGTACATCTTGCAACACATTATCTAGACCGTCCATGTCAAGATTTTCATGTGCCCATAGATCTGCTTGATTTGTACCTTTTTAGAGTTTAAAATTTTATAATTAGAGACAAAATAGATTCTCGCATCATTCTATGAATTTTTTACACTAAAATATTTTATGACAAATTGCAACTTTATGCAAACCACACCCTAAGATAAAATATATTGCATTTAAAAATCAAAATTACACCTAAGCATAGATATACGAGATGAAACTTCTTACATACATTTGCCCAAGGAGGAAACAAAACAGGTTTGCATTTAAAAATCAAAATTACACCTTAGCATAGGTATACGAGATGAAACTTCTTACATACCTTTGCCCAAGGAGGAAGCAAAACACCACCCAAAGGCTCACCATCCTGCTTCACCCCAAGATGATAAGCATTTGAGTTGACAAGAAACTCCGGCAAATAAAAGAATTCTGGTATCAGTTCTTTGACATCACTCGTATTTGAAAGGCAATTCCTATATGTGCCTTCGATGCTTTGGAAAAGTCGATCTGCATGATCAAATTTACCACCCTGTCCATTAAAAATCACAACACAAGGTAAATAGAAATCCAAAACAATATGTTTATACACGAAAATCAAGTGGGATAGAGACATTTTCCAGGGTAAAAATATTTAAGGGGAACTATACTATAATCAATCAATCAGACCAAAGTTCATTGAATCCTTAGTTCACCATGAGCACCATGAGCCAAATGACCAAAAGTGATGAAAGAAAGCGTGAGAGCAACTCTGTCTAGGAGGTACTAGTCTCTCGTCATCACCACCCTTGATGAACCCAATAGTTTTCAGAATTCATTGGATTATAATATGATTATCCAGTATTCTATGCAGAGAAAAAAAGGAAAGAAAAAAGGAAGATAAACTTGTGTCCATAAGAACACAGGCTAGAGCTTAAGAAGTCCCGTGAGCGAATAAGCAAAATCAAATAAAACTCCATTCTATATGCTCAGCTTCTAAAAATCCAAAGCACTGAATCAGTCTAAGATGAGAAAATCAAATCCATTAAGAATCACAATACCTGCAAATTACGATGGAGAGCAGTAAAGGGCTCTAGTCTAAGCAGATAGAAAAGCACAATTCCCATGCTTGAATAGTGAGATCCATAGTAGAAGCTGCAGTGCACATAAGAATAGTTCATCAAATCATGAGGAAGGAACTCATCAAGACCCAGTTCAAAATAAATTAGACATGATATTTACTAAGAAAAACACTAAAATTACCTTGGAATATCAGGATCAGAAAAATTGCGGTACCTCTCCTCGAAAACCTATGCAATTCACTGGGTTAAATCAATAGAAATTGAGATTGAAATTAATCATATAATATACAATATAATACAAAGAAAAAGCATTGTGATATCTTTCATTCAGAAAAGAAATTCCTTACCTCGAATCGCTTTGAATCCAATGCACCCACAGGTTTTGAAAGGTCACGGAAGGTTGATGATTTATTAAAATCAAGCTTTTCGGAGGAATAATCGGCCACAACCCAAGGAAATACAGGATACTGAGTTAAGTCGTTATAAGATCTGCCAGAAAGCGTATTGAGTACCATCAAATACTCAAAGTTGCTCATATCTCTTCTTCGCCAACTCTCTCTTGCTCTTTCTGCCATCTCCAACGCAACACGTCTATCAACAAAAGATATAAACCCATTCCTATCTTTAGTGCTTGCTTTTGGAAATAAAGCTTCATTCCTCGTAGAAACTATCAGCATCCCCACATCTTTAGCATCCTTCTGGGATGCGAAGTTCATAAAAACTGGGGCTACCGAATCGCTGAAAAATATCTCTATAGCTGTATATCTTAATAGATATCGGGTCCAATGAACACCTTTGATCTGCCAATGTAAATAAGATGAACATATTCAACTATAAGTATATATTGTTGATCTCTCTCTGTCTCTTTCTCTCTGTCTCTGTCTCTGTCTCTCTCTCTCTCTCTCTGTGCGGGCACGCGCATGGGCAAACGCACAAAATTCCTGTAAGCCAACATGCTTATACTGTCGCTAAGCATATTGGAGCTACAGGGGCTTGTTGGACCCCAAAATTGCAAAATGCTCATCTCAACTAGACAATAAAAAATGAATTCACACAAAAAAGAGGGAAAGTTCACAATTTTCAATGGATGCAGATCATCCACTTGATTGATGGTGGATCTAGGCCTTCAAGAACCCCAAATGACAATGTTTTTGGAATTGTATATTTTCAATAAAATATCTACAAAGTTCCATACCAAAAATTCCTCCTAGCTATGTCTATTAGACAACGGGATTATACTGTAGCATAAGCCCCTTCACTTATAGTGTGTTGACACACACACATGTGCAAGTTAGCCTATACAAACACAGAAACACACGGATGGGAAGAAAATCAAAATTGAACAATAAAAAAAAATCTGATAAATCATAAAGTATCATGATGCACACCTTACAAATATTCCATCTTCTATGACGTTTCAATTCCTTCGACTCTATGTGAAATGGAGCTTGTGGAACATTATCAATATTATCCGAGATGGTTCCTTTCTCACGATCCACATTAAAACGCCCATGACCTTTTTGCAACTTTTGATCAGATTTAGTAATAGAATCAGGGTAATTCAAACCATTTAGGTCATCAAACACAGATGAACCCCCTGTCCCTTCTACCAAGAATTCACCATAGAAATAAAGAAAGTTGTGCATGACTTCCAGTCTTCCTGCCAATTTCCTCTTTGGGCTCACAAGGACACAAGGGACAGTCAAGAGAACCTGGGGAAGGACAAATAAAATGCTTGTGAGAGATCCTATTTACCCATACTATACTAAGTATTAGAGTAGCACAGGCATATCTCATGTACCTCGTTTGTATTCATGTCTGTCATACTGGAGGAAGCATCCTTCCTGTTTAGATTATTAGGCTTCTGATCCAAAACATCCTTTACAAGCTCTGAGGACTGTTTATCAGCAGAGCCATCTTTGGTGGTACTGCTCTGCCCACTGAACTCATCATCCTCATTCAGACTTTCATGGATTTCAGCAACTCCTTCTTCACTTATGCCACGAACTCCTTTAAGTAGAAAGCGCTTCATGGCTGCTGGAACATGGCTTCCAAGACCAGAGAGACTGTCATTAACAGGTTGAGAAGTCTCATAGCTTGTGGAACTTGTAGGCGGATAACAAATTTGTGTATCAAAATGATAATTTCTCTTTAATTTGGGCCTCCGGCGCCATTTGTCCTCAGTCTTATCAAGTTTCCAATGGGTAGCAATTTTATTAGGGAAAGGAGTAGCTGACCATGGACCTCTCTCATCAATAAGAGCCCGAAACATATGGACCCATTTGTCCTGTTAAAGATTTTCAAATCAGGTTTATAAGCAATTAGAGCAGTAATTGAGCTTTTATTCATGGATATAAAATTAAGTCACAAATAACTACGTCACACGTGGAATTGAAGATCATACAGCTATAATTTGTTGATCCTCATCATAAGAAAGCTGAGAGGAAGCTTTTCTACTATCATCTGCAGAAAGAATCATGCTTAAGTTATTTTGGAGCTCTTCTTCGAAAGATTTCTTTTGATAAAACTCAATGGATGATTGATCATCAATCTCAATCCGAAGTTCCTGTAGCTGCTTTGATCGTTCCTCTTTCGAAAGTCTAATGTATTTTAATTCGTCAACAACCTGGCAAAAAAATATTGACATTTTAAAAGGCCTGATACCATATGCACAGTCAATAATCATCATGCATGAATCGACTAGAGAGAGAGAGAGAGAGAGAGAGAGAGAGAGAGAGAGAGAGAGACGGTACGGG